GCTGGCAGATGGCACTCGGAGGAGGCCTAATCTATGAGATCTAATCGGTCTCAAGGAGGTAATCGGCAGGAGGCGGTCTCCCAAGTACCCAAGTAATGAAGTTACAAATGAATGAGTTACAACCATTTCAAATGGTGGTCCTCAGTTGAGGTGAAGTTATATAAGGAAGGTATGTCTACATCTAATATTACCCAATTGTGCAATTGATTCTTGAACTTCTTTAGCATACTTTTCTTCATCAGATAACTTCTTTTTGTAAAATGGTAATCTGCAGAATTAAATGTATCAATTATTAGAGATGCATTTTAAAAAGCATGAGAGAAATAATGATAAATACTTGAATAATAATGACTACAATTTTCATGAAAAAATAAAAAAAATGGAAATTAAGTCTAGCAACAAAGCCATTGTAATCTGGTGTACAAAAGGTATGCCACAAAAGACCACAACATAAAAGGGAAGATCAATGGCAAGTTAAAAAACAGGAAATAAAAGTATCAACAACAGGCTCACCAACTTTATATACACATTTTGTCCACCAAAATTAATGATCAAGGAGGCATTCACGTAATTGTAACTACATTTAATAAATTTTAATATTAAAAAGATTGTTTTTGTGGAATACTAAGCACAATTCTGTACAAGGTGGCCCTATATGCCAGCAGTGACCCTGCCTACCAGATACTACAGAAAAATCCTAATATGAAGTAACTCTGCCAAGGGACAAGCCTATGGGATAATCTGATTATCAGTAATCACTTTGTCCCTCTGGAATGTAATGTCATTAGACTTGCCTATTTATTTCCTTATTTCATGTATATCTTGCCTTTCCTCCCAAAGGCGAGGCAACATAAAAAAATCTCACTGTCCACTTTCTGTTAATCTTTTGCAACCATCTTATGAAATAGGCTAGGCTGACCAATTTCAACTGACCCAACATCACTGAGTATCTTGAGATTTAGATGAGCATGAATCTGACTGTGAGCTTTTCCAATCTTAATCTAATACTTGAAAACAGTGCTATCCTCTAGCTGTGTAGCAATTCTATTGAGGACAATCTGAATGAAAAGTATTGCAGAAAAACATTGATATTTTAATATTACTAAGATGTTTAAAACATACAGTAATAAGCTTTGTTTCATTCCTCTCTTCAGGAAAGAGCAATAAAATATTTAGATTTTGCAACTGCATTATTATAACTAGTGAATATGTATATGCCCACTATGTGGCAGCAAAGTTAAACAATATAAGCAGAGGAGAAGACATATTGGTAATCTTAAATGTATTTAAGGATAATCTCAGTACATCTGAAAAATTCAAGACTTAGAAATACCTTTAGCACTTTTAATAAGTAGTTATACTAATATCCATTATGTTTACTAAGAATGGTTGGTTGTGTTCCAGGAAAACTAGCACACAATTGCTGTTTAAGTATGCTATGTAGGACAAGCAGCAGAAATACTTGACAGTTCCTAAATATTTGATGTTGGTCTAATTGAATTCATTTAAGCTAATAAAATACCTGCATCAGGTAATAAAAGTATGGAGTCTTTCTATTAATTTATTTGTTTCTTAGATTTTCATTAATTTTATATGAAAGTTGAATCCACAAATTTAGATAAAGGTTTTATATATCTGAATGATATATAAACTGAGGGTTTTCATTTTCAAATTAATTTTGAATGAAATGTAACATTATAATATTTGCTCAGTTTATTTACTGCAATCATAATTTGTGGAGAATATTTTCACCAATATCTAAATTATAATTATAACATTCTAAATGTTGAAGTCATATGCTGTTGCTAAAATGAAAATAAATGAATATTATTTCTGGCAACTAAAACTAGAAGGTCGTTAATATCAGAATAAAACAGAAGCATTAATTAAGTACTTACCCATACAATTTAAGAATTACACATGTAATTTCTATAAAAACATTGTCCATTGTTTGAATTTTCTCCACACATAAGTTTAAAATTTTAGAGATGAGTGCTAAATCATTCAGAGGCTTATAATGATTAACAATCAAGGAAAATGGTTACAGAAAACATAATTTTGCATAACAAATTAAAAACAAAAAAACAAACCAAAATCCCAAACTTTAGTTGTAAAATTAGTAACAATTTTCATGTTGGTAACTGTGCCAGAATTCTAATAGTAAAGAGAATAAATAAATCTTTCAGAGTTGCTCAATCTCAATTCACCTTTTTCTCCAAATAATATTTTAGTAATTAATAAAAATAGCTGAGTAGAATCTCAACTCTAAAATATATTTAGTGCCTTCCAAAATAGCTAGAAACAATTTTCATTGCTCTCAGGCAGCAGTCCATTAAAAACACTTACTGCGAATTGCAAACCATAATCTAATATATTTGGGGTGTGCCAGATTGGAAGAAACAGCTCCAATGGACATATCAGCCATCCAAACTAGCCATATTGGTCGTATAATAGTAAAATAATCCTAGATTGTGTGATGTTTACCCATTACCAATCATAAAATAACTACATATATGGGATTTTATCCTACATAAAATATGCAGAAGTAGATCCTATTCTGTTCTGCACTACACATAATATGTTGTTGTTAATTGCGAAGTCATGTTCCACCCATTGTGACCCCATGGACAACACTCCTCCAGGCCTTCCTGTCCTCTATCTTCCTCTGGGGTTCATTTAAGCTCACACCTATTACTTCCAGCCACCTCATTCTCTGTTGTCCCATTCTTCTTTTGCCCTCAATCTTTTCCAGCATTAAACTCTTCTCCAGTGAGTTCTTCCTTCTCATTAGGTGGCCAAAGTATTTGAGTTTCATCTTCAGGATCTGGCCTTCTAAAGAGCAGTCAGGGTTGATCTCTCTAGGACTGACCGCTTTGATTGCCTTAAAGTCCAAGGGCCTCCTAGGTGTCTTCTCCAGCACCATAGTTCAAAGGTCTCAATTCTTTGGTGCTCAGTCTTCCTTATAGTCCAACTTTCACAGCCACACATTGCAACTGGGAAAAACCATAGTCTTGACTAAATGCACTTTTGTTGGCAAGGTGATGTCCCTGTTTTTTAGTATGCTGTCTACATTTGACATAGATTTCCTCCCCAGAAGCAAGCATCTTTTAATTTCTTGGCTGCAGTCCCCATCTGCAGTGATCTTGGAAGCCCAGGAAAATAAAATATGTCACTATTTCCATTTCTTCCCCATCTATTTGCCAGGAATTGAGAGGGCTGGATGCTATAATCTTAGTTTGTTAATGTTGAGTTTCAAGCTAACTTTTGCACTCTCCTTTTCCACTCACATCAAGAGGCTCTTTAGTTCCTCTTCACTTTCTGCCATTACACACACAATATATATACAAGTAGATTATATTCATAACATAAAAATTTAAAATTACTATTACATATCAAATATATATCAAATAATGCAAGCAACTGAACAGAGAAAGCAAGTAGAATTTTGTCAATAAACAAGAGTAATACAACAAAAAGAGGGAAATGACCATAGAACGGGATGTTTTATGGAACTGTGTTCAGCTGAATATATAGGATAAATTTGGTGAGTCACTAAGCAACATTACTCAGACTCATAAAAAGTCTTTTGTAAAATAATTCAGGTTATAACCAGGGAACTGTTAATTTGGATAAGCACTCTGAACCATAAAGCATTGACTGTACTATGCAGGACAGATCATTTCTTATATATGTCTTCATTCTTATCAGCAATAAAGATTTTAAATGTTCATATCTGGCAATCTTCTGCCAAGTTGGGCCACTTAGAAAAGTTAAATGTTTGGGGAGCTAAGACTATCATGTTCTGTGTGAAGCTTCACAATGAGAGCTGAAAAGGTAATCTCCAGAGTAATGCTAATTGCAATGGTGTGTCTGAAAATGCCAATTGTGGATTAGAGTGATTTACAGCCTACATAAAGATTGTAAGGGGAATATAAATAAACAATGGGAGCATGCTAAAGGAATTTGGCAGTGCATGATAGGAACTGATTAAGAAAACAATTGTCCATGAAAAAAAAGAATCATACAAAAAAAAAAAAGCCCAGTGGATAAAGGCTACCAAATGTAAGAGACATAAGTTATTCTGTACCTCTGGGCTTATAAGAAACAGCCTACAGTAGAAAACATACTTACATATATTCACAAATAGACACATTGTAGACAGGAAGACAGGAAGAAGGAGCCTTGAAGGGCAGAGGGGACGTAGCTGTGCCCTTCAACATATAAAAAGATTTGCAGTACTTGGCAAATTCATTAGAATGATGAACTGAAATAAACCTGTGCTGACTGGACCAACCAGCCTGTGAAATTTGCTGTTTGGCAATATAGGTTAGAAATGTGACATAGCAGCTGTCAAGACGTATCCAATCCACAATCCTTTATTGCTAACATACATCAGGACAAGTAAAATGGCAAATGACATTATAGTCATATCACAATAGATTCTGAAGATCTAGCAAGGAAGTTGAAAGACCTGGCATTATCATCAATCTTTCCACTTCACAAAAATGTACTCAAGCAAAAGATAATACACAATACAATATTGCAAATGAATTTATACAATGACAATATTGTCAGTGGGAGAAACTTAATTTCTGTGACTTTCTACTGAATGCTAGACATTTAACCAAAGAATGGTGAGCTTGACCAAGAAGACTTTAAATGAGATCCTGCACATGGTTTGAACAAAAAATTCCTGAACTAGATCTCAGAGGAAGATTTGTATAATGTACAAGATACTGGGAGTATGGTTAACATAGAATCCATTGAAATATTCATAAAGAACATTTGTGTATAAAGTTGATGGTTATTTTTGTGTTAATATCAAAGAGTATTACCGTATTTTTCAGAGTATAAGACACACCAAGGTTTTGAAGAGGCAATTTTTAAAAAAATAGTAGGTAGGTGGAGAGAGAGAGAGAGAGAGAGAGAGAGAGAGAGAGAGAGAGAGAGAGAGAGAGAGAGAG